GGTATCGGTATCGGGGCCAAAATAATGGCATCGGCGCATATTCATATAATCGATTCTTGCCTCCAAAAATCGATGCAGTAGATCACAAAAATTAGAATCGTGATGCATCGTCATGACGATTATTTTGCACACCCTTACCGAAGATAGGGTTCAACTTTCAAAGGTTAAAGGTTACGTTTAAATAGGGTTATAGACCTAATTTCTTCAGCCCCCCATGTCCTTATTTCAAATAGATTAAAACAACTAATCAGTAATTATCAATAGACTGATATGACAGGATTATGTTTTGATGCATCTTTCGGCTCCACTGCACTTCGCTAATTTAGGCTTCGACTGGTCCATTTGATTGCTTAGTCTATGGTAGCCCTAGCTGTATGTTTATCTTCATCTTTTCCTTTTGCTCAACAGAGATAGATGGATGCAAGGATAGACTAAATAACCTGCTACTCGCATAACATTTTATTTTGTTTTATTTATTACATTATGTGTTATTTCCTTTGCAGCTTTCCATCCTCTGTGAGTAATGAGAGAGTTCACTGAAGGTACAGTTTTCAGTCTATTTTTTTTTTAAAGCTGCTCTTAGCCTGATGCAACTAGCCTGGAAATATATATTTTAAACATTCGATGTAGAGAAACCCCCAGAGATTTGGGTTTAATCATGCTGAGAGCTTTCAGCTTTATTCAAATATTTCCCTACCTGCTGAACATTCTCATTCTATTGCTTATTCTGCATGATGATCTGAGAGCTTTAATGAGATGATCGCCAACATTTAATTTCCTTTATGTATATTTTCCAGTTTGATCTTTCATGTTAATGTAGTAAAGTTAAAAATACCTTTAAAATATTTTTCTTTCCTGGTCACTATAGGGGGAAACTGGGTTGGATGTTGATTTAAAACAGCAATTTGTGCAGAAAGTGCAACAAGCAGACTCATTTGAACTAACAAGCAGTCGCCATTTATTGCAATTTGCTTCATGGGTTTGCTGAAAAAATGCCAAAGCCTAAAACCTGAATGGCTTTAGATGAAAGAGGATCGACTGACCTTAATTACAACAGCGTCTTTTATCAGATACAGTTTTTCGCTTATTATTTTTTATCGACTGTAACTAATGCATCTCTCTTGAGTTTTAATAATTTATCATTACGTAAAATCTCATTAAAATGAACTAGTTTGTGTTTGTAATGAGATGAAATAGAAAAGAAAACTTTTAAGGGGTTTTAACTGTCATTCAAGGTCCTGAATGTGTGGGTTTTTTTCAGTCAGGATGAAGTTTCTGTTTTTCTGGCTTTATTTTATAGAAGGTTAGCACATAATTAAAATATTTTACAGAATGAAGTTTGACCTTGAGTACAGCTTTTAGTCCACTTTTAATTATCGGTTGGTTTGCAACCTTAAGCCAATCATTCACCGAACCCATCCAAGGCAAATATGACTTTTTCTCTCCCTTTTTACTAATTATCTCAACGTTTTATTTTTCTAATATTCATTGGAAATATTTCCTTGTTGGTTTGCATCTATTCTCAGGGTAATATACACTACCGTTCAAAAGTTGGGGGTCACATTGAAATGTTATGGTTTTTGAAGGAAAAGCACTTTACTTTTCAATGAAGACAACTTTAAACTAGTCTTAACTTTAAAGAAATACACTCTATA